TTTCCACAGTGTTTACATTGTACGAGGTATTATAAGTAATCTAGAGATGATTTAAAATGTGCAGGAGGATGTGTATAAGCTACATGCAAATGCTACACTATTTTACATAAGGGGCTTGAGCATGCCTGGCCTTTGGTATCTACGGGGTCCTGGGACCAATCCCCTGTGGATACTGAGGGATAACTGCATATATGTGTATTCACATATTTTCCAGGTTTTATACCTGGGTTACATTGATCAGTATCTATCTATCTTAAACGAAAGCCCAGATGTAAAACCCGCATTCTTTATTTTTGACATGGATAGTTATAGGTGAAAATCCGGTGGCATCTTGCCCCGTGGTGGAAATGCATACTCATGTGGAATGTTTGAAGGTATGGGGACAAAGGGCCATGGAGTGGTGTTGCCTTTCTCAGAGATCTTTTAAAATACGATTGTATTGGTTTTCTGTGGCTGCATAACATACCACAAACTTCATGGCTTAAAGCAGCACACACAGTTTCCTCTGAGTTTCTGTGGGCTGGTAGTCTGGGCACCACTGCTTAGCTAAATTCCGTGCTCAGTTCAGGAGTTGGCTGGGGCTGTGGTCGCATCAGAAGCTGGACTGGGGAAAGACCCACTGCAGACTCAGGTTGGTGGCAGGATTCACCTTCTGTAGCTGTAGGGCTGAAGTCTCCCCCTTCCTGCTGGGGTCCGTCCCCCCACCTGCCCCCGCCTTACAACAGCACAGAGATTTACTTCTTCAGAGCCAGCGAGGGAGTCTCTTTCTTTGGTCTGCTAGGATGGAGTCTTTTGTAATGAAATGTGATCATGGGAGTGACAGCCCGTTACCTTGGCCACGTTCTGTTGGTTAGAAGCAAGTCATAGGCTCATCCCACACTCAAGGGGAGGGGATTCTAGAGGGCATGGCTCATTGGAGGGGAGTCACTTCGGGTGTGTCTGCCACAGGGATTATCCTCGAATGCTTCTTGTGGGGTTTTGGCTTCGGGCAAAGGGGTAGCTTTGATGAACTTCAAGGCCCCCATGCATGTCAACAGTCCAGCTAGCACGCCATTCGGGGTCTTGGTGGGCCAGATTCTGATAATGTCTGTGTGAATGAGGGGCTACGGCTCTCTGCTTGAATCCTCGATACTGGGCCTGCTTTGCAACCCCCTGTCTGGCAGCCAGCTGTGCTCCTCCTGGGAGACCTTCTCTGTAGTTCTAGAGTTTGGCTGGGACTAAAGGGATGACCACAAGTGTCTAGGCCTGACCTGGGAGCCCTGAAGCCTGGGTGCTCCCCATAACTGGGTGCTCAAGTGGCTTCCCTGCACCTCTGGCATTTTAAGTCCCACAACAACCCACCCAAAAGGGAACTGCTCACTGGGCAACTGCCAAGCACGGGGGTCGGGGGAGGTTCGACCCCCATGCTAGAAGAATCGGGCAGGTTCTGACTCCTGTGTTCTGTGGGCTGGAACTCTGCTGGTGGTTCCTTCCCAGGCCGCCTGCTCCTGCAGCTCCAGCCTCCTGCCCTGCGCTCCGCCCCAGCCCCTCCCCCTAGCATTCCCCTGCATCATCCCCTGTCCCTGAATCCGCTCACTCATTCATTCATCCATCCATTCCTTCACTACGTATTTCCTAAGCACTCAAGATGAGCCGGGCACAGGCTCAGCACAGGGGGTACTTAGCAGTGAAAACAATAGGAAAATGGACAAAGTCTCTGCTTTCTTGGAGCTTGGAGCCAAAGACTGATGGACCAGTATGAACAAATAAACGCATAATGTCAGAGGGTAAGAAGTACCAGAATAAGTGTTTCGGGAGCAAGGCTGCTGCATCACACGGAGTCTGGGGAGGCCTCCGGTGGGACCGCAGCTGATCACAGCCCCGTGTGCCTGGGCGCACACTCCAGGGAGGGGACCCTGGGGCAGAAGGGCGCTCCGTGCACTCGAGGAAGAGCCCGAGGTAGTGTGGCCGGGGCACAGTGACTAGGGCTGCTCCGAGAAGATCAGAGAGAGGACTCAGGCGTTCAAGGTGGAGGAGGGCAGGAGAGGGTGCTCGTGACAGTGCGTAACCGCGGTGCCCGGTGCACGGAAAGGCCCCATCCGAGGGGCTGTGGGTTTGATGGATTCCGGATCTGAGGGTGGTGAGCCAGGAAGTCTCACCGCTGATCACCGCAGACTTTACCAACTGGGTCAAGGAAACTGGGCTTGAGCCTGAGATCGGGCAAGCCCGCAATGGCCTTAGTCACGGAATCAGCGCCCTCGTTGCTGTGGGCGAGAGCAGGACTGCTCATACTCTGGTGCCACAGGGAGGAGGGTGGCGGTTTCTGTGGCTGGTGGTTTGATGTTCCCTGGTCGCCTTTGTGTCCCTCTCGTTCCCTCTCTGTGCTCCCCCCATTCCCAAAGCCCTCAGAGTCCAGGAGGAGACACACTCACAGTGACTGTCTTGACACCCCACGTGGGAGCAGCACTCTACAGTTTGCAGAGTGCTGTCACATTTTCTCTTACTTGTTGTCAGAGCAGCATTCCAATGGGGTGGGGGGTGGTTTCTGTCTATCACTCTTTCCATTTCACAGATGAGAAACCAGGTTCCCAAGAAGCCGAGGGATTTGCTACGTGCTCAGACATCAGGAGGGGTTGCCTTCCCAGCCGAACAGCCCAGCAAAGGCTTGTCCTTTTGGCTGCCATGTGTCCCGAGGGAGGGGTGCATGGACCAGGCTAGACAGCTCTGAAAGGGCTGCCTGGCAAGGTCCGCCCAGTGGTTAACCGAGCCGTGCCGAACACTTCCCCGTGCCCACCCGCTTGCCCACGGAGAAGGAGGCCTCACGCCCCCGCGGCATGACAAGGACATTCCTCCCATGGGTTACACCAGTCTCAAGACAGAGAGGAAACCAAGCGGGATTACGAGCTGACGCGACAAGAGACACAGGCTCATAAACACCCTCCTCTCGGTCCCCTGCAACGCTGCATTCGTCAGAGTCTCTCTTCTCTCATTATTTTTTCTCCACTCATCTCCTAGCAGTTATTCTGTTGGCTTTGCCAGGCTTCCCAGGCTCCTCCGTGACCACTTGCCCTTCTTCAGTGTCCCTCCTGTCCTTCCCAGAGGCTTCACTGGGACAGGAAGTTCATCCATTTGCTCACTTCTTTCTTACTTCTTGCATCTGCCCACCCACCCATCCATCCACCCACCCACCCACCCACCCATCCACCCACCCATCCACCCATCCATCCACCCCATCCATCCACCCACCCACCCACCCCATCCCATCCACCCATCCACCCACCCATCCACCCCCATCCACCCATCCCACCCACCATCACCCACCTATCCATCCATCCACCCACCCACCCATCCACCCATCCATCCATCCATTCATCCATCCATCTACCCATCCATCCATCCAACCACCCACACACCCACCACCCCCACCACCATGCATCCACCCATCCACCCACCCACCCACGCATCCACGTATCCAGGCATCCACCAATTCACTCACCCACCCACCTACCCATCCATCCATGCATCCACCCATCCACCCATCCATCCATACATCCACCCATCCACCCATCCATCCATGCATCCACCCACTCACCCACCCACCCAGCCACCCACCCAGCCACCCACCCATCCACCCATCCATCCACCTGTCCTTAGAGTCATTACCGTGTGCCAGCGGTTATAAGGATGGCCAAGGGGTGGGCTCTGCCCTGACAGGCCGTGGTCTCTGATACCGTGGCGAGTCAGTTGCAGGAAGAGAAGAGACAGTGCGAAGGAAGGGCGGGTGGAGATGGTGATGATGATATGAGAAGAGAACGCTCTACCTGAGGCTCGGCCTTCCCAGGAGGTCTTGGAATTGGAAAGGCAGGAACTTGCTTCTGATGGTCACGGGACGATAGAGGCCTGAGGACCTTCTGGATTTGCTGAGATGCCCTGGGCTTCTCCCCAAGCTGACAGCCTTTCCTTTCGAGGAGAGGCCTTGGACTTGTAGAAGCCCAGTGCCTTAGAAAAGGTGGGGGCTGGCCTTTGGATATGCCTCCTACCTGCCTTTTGTCTCAACAGTTCTCTCCCTCCACCCCGCCTCACAGTGGTCCTTCTGAAGCACAAGTCTGATCGTGTCCCTCCCCTTGCTCAACAACTGTCTATGGCTCCCCGGTGCCTTTAGGAAAAAGTCCGAGCTTCTTTACTTTGCCCCATGATGCCTTTTCAGTCTCACCTTCCACTGCATTCTCCCCTGAATCCGGTGTCCCGGTTCTTACCGTAGGCTCCCACAGGCCCCGTGCTTCCCTGGCTCCATGAACATGAGAACAGTGTGCTGCTGAACCCGGAGCTCCGAGAACAACACAAATGAAGAAAGCCCCGAGTTGTAGCCCTTGCCAGTTTCTGTGGTGTAAGTGCCCCTGCCGCGGCCGATGTCACACTCCAGCATGACGTCACTGAGAGCAGAGTTGGGAGAAAGCAGAGGAAGGGCCCTTCCCGCCTCTCCCCCCGGGGCGGTGCAGTGTGGTGCAGCTGTGTGACTTTGGGCAAGCTACTGAACCCTCCCAGCCTCAGTTTCCCTTCCTCTAAAATGGGGCTAGAGGTACCATTTTCTTCGTAGGACCACTATAGGAAGGAAATGAGAAGATGCATCACAGCACTTAGCACCACGCCTGGTGCGTGGTGAGTGCTTAGTAAGTGTCGCTCACCACCTGCAAAAGGCTTTCCCGTCATTCTTCCCCAGCTCGAAGCCACCTCCACCGCAGAGCCTTCTGTGACTTCTTCGTGGAGCCAAAGCACTGGTTTTATCCCCCAAAGCACATTGCTCACACTTTACCGCTGAAGCAGCGCGGGCTCGTAACGATTACTGGGCGTGAGGTCCCACTGGCCGGCCTGTGCCTGATTCCTCGCTGTGCCGTCGGTGTTTTGCAAAGAGCCGGCACACGGTGGGTGCTGGAATCCGTCTTTAAGGGAGCCCAGTGAGCTCGTGCATGAGGCAGGTGCGGGTGAGGGTTTGGGGAAGGAGGGAGGCAGAGGTGTGGAGGTGCATGCAGAGGGGAGCTAGAGGAGTGTATCGGGTGGCCACACGTGTGTACACGGCAAGCGAAGGCATCCGGCCAGGTGTGCCTACCTGGAGACCCGCGTCAGTCCTGCCAGCTGAGCAGGGCGCAGCCCTTCCCGCGCAGGGAAAGACTTCGGCAGCCGGCTCCCAGGGACCAGCTCGTCTGCGACAGGGAAGCCAGCGGCAGCCTGGCTCTTAGAGAGGAGTCAGCGCAGGGCCACGACCCAACGGAAAAATAAATCCCCGTCGTGCCAGACAGGCTCGGTTCCCGGCTGGGTGAGTTAATAAAGTGACTCTGAGGTGGTTTGGAGCCACCGTGGAGGGCTGGGGAGGAATGGTCTCATTTCTTGTAAAACTTTAATTAGTGTTAGTCACTTCGAGTGATTATGGTGGCTTAAAATAGCCACCGGCAGCGAGCTTTAATGACACATCTGAGGCTGCTTTGTTTTATTTCTGTAGGGAGCTGAGCTGGGCTTGTAATGGACGCATGTCTGTCCCCTCGCTGGGCTGTGAGTGGCTGGGAGCTCCATGCGGGCAGGGACAGGTAAGGCTTGCTGTCCCCGTGACTGGCGCAGTGCCGGGACATCCGAGAGGCACCCCAAGCCCGTGTGGCCTGCCACTGACTATCAGCTCTGACGGGTTCCCTGATTTATCGTACTAACACTTCTTTCCCACTTCTTTGCTTTTCATCTGTTTTTTTCCACCAGAATGTCAGTGTTCGGCTCACGGCTGTTCCCAGTGCCGAGAACAGCACGCAGCAGGTGGTAGGAGCTAAAAGGAAGGATGGATGAGGTGGGAGCCGTCTTCTAACATGCCACGAGCATTCTCAGGAGGGTGTTTCTGATGACGGCTGTGACAGTGTCATAGAGGGCATGGTGACTGTCTAACAGAGGGGCCCTAAAGTGCCTGGGGTGGGCAAGGAGGCCCTCCATGAGGAAGTGACATTTAAGGGAGAGCAGAGGGTGAGCAGACGCCAACCAGATGGAGAGAGGGAAGGGTGTTCCAGGCAGAGGGAACCGCACATGCAAAGGCTGTGAAGCAGGAAGGAGCAAGACTGAGAGGGGAGCTGAAAGGCGGGCCTGGCAGGAGCATGGTGAGTGGGGGCAGGGGTGGCCTTGCTGGCGAGGCACTTGGACATGATGCTAGTTTCAGCTTCCCCCACTGCTGGATGTGCTGGTGGGTCCTCCCCAGGCAGGGGCTACCCTGAACGTCCCCAGCTCTGCCCCACGCCCCACCGGCTCTGACCCACTAAGAGCTGGCCGGCCCCGGGAGAGGGAGCATCAGTAGAGGCGGGGCACTGGGCAGGTGAGGCAGCCTGACAACAGCGTTCGGTCGGCGGAGGGTGTGCGTCTTGCTTAGACCTGGCCCGAAAGAACCATGCTGGTGCCCTGGGTTCCTGGGCTGGAAGCGGGCAGAGGATGCTGAGCCCGCAGGGCCATTCAGAGCCCAGCGGCCCGAGCAAAACGGGGTGGGGGGGGAGGGGGGAGGAAGAGCCTGGTAGATAAGCTGGGCCACTGTCTTCATCAGAGGTGGGGAAACAGTCGACAGGACCGGCATGGACTTGAAGACACACCTGCCTTGTGCCACGAATGACGTGGATTTGTTGTCCCCATTGTGTGGGTAAGTCTTTTGCCCAAGGTCACATCATTGACAGTGGCAGGTGTGGGAGTGAAGCCAGGCCGGGTCCACAGCCTGCGCCTCCTGGGGTGAGACTGACGCTCTGAGAGGAAAAGGGACACGTTCAAAGTCCCACGGTCAGAAATTGCAGCCGTGGACACTTACTGGGTATCCACCACGTATCTCTGTGTCCTGCCCTCTGCTCTTGAAACCTCAGGGAAATAAATCCTACCGAAATACCCCCTTTTCAGCTGAGAAAACAGGTCAGAAAGGTGGGAAGGAGCAGAGCTAGGATTTGAGCCACTCTGAACCTGCGCTTTTCGTGGCTATACAGCAAGCTCCCCTCCGGGAGAGCTGGGGCAGCGGTGCCCGTCCTTACCCAGCCTGGGGACGCTTGGCAGTGTCTGGGGACACGTCTGGTTTTCACAGCGCGGGTGGGGCGAGGGCGAGGGGAATGGTGCGCTGGCATCTCGGGGCAGGGGCAGTGAGGGCTCGAACTTCCCGCACACGCAAGACAGCCCCACAACAAAGCCGCGCGCAGCCCCAAGTGTCAGAGGCCGGGGCTGAGGAAACACTGCTCCAGGCCATGCACGTCTCTCAGTGTGATGTAAAAGGATCTGGAAAATTGCTATTTGCAGAGAACGTAGTGCCCGGAGCCCTCTGTACCAAATACATCTCAGCCTTTTTGTTCCAACAACGCAAACCTCAACCCTGCCTGGGGACCAAGGTGATAGCTGCGGGCTTCCTGGGTGGGACTGTACCTGTGAGAATTCAAGGGGCATTTAAGGCATGGATGACACCTCAGGGTACACCCCAGGGCCACATTTAACCCCTTCTTCTCCTGCCAGTAGGTGGCTTCTGGCCACTTTCTTTTAACTGCTTGCTCTCTGGGCAGGAGCTTGGAGAGGACGCTCACAAGATCAGGGCATAGGCTATGGGGTGGATAATCCACCCCACCCCAGCAGGTGAGATGGAGGGCTCTTGGGCTCTGGAGCCAGGCTGCACAGGTTCAAACCCCAGCTCAGCCTCTTATACCCCGTGTGAACTTTGGTAAGTTAGTTAACATCTCTGTGCCTCAGTTTCCCACTCTGGGAGTCATGCCTACTTGGCGGGACTATTGTAAACATGAAATGAGATGATGAGGAGAATGTCGAGATCCTGGCCATGTTGTCAAAGCGATCTGGATGTGACTCTTGGCTCTGCCACTCACTAACTGTGACTTTAGACAAGTCACTTAGCTCCCTGGGTTTGCTCATTTGCAAACTGAGGGGTGCCGCAGTACCCACCCTGAGGAGCTGTTTCAGACGGTGCACCTGAAAGAGCCCAGCCCCGTGCCTGGCACACAGTCAGCCCTCAGCACGTGCTATTCGTTGTTGCCACTAACAGTCAATGGGCGCTTTCTTATGACCCCGGATCCTAGCCCAGAGCCCGGAACACAGTAGGTGCTGGGGTGGGGGTGGGAATTCCTTCCACCCTCGCCCTGCTCAGGCTCTGCCTCCCGGGGAAGCTTGGCCCCTGCTGGACCCTCTGTTTGTGCAGCCTGCCTTGCCCCCTGCCGCCCGGGGTTCTGGCGAGAGGGCAGGGCAGCTACCCTGGGTCAGGACAGGGCCTGGAGCAAGACAGGGCTTCAGCTTTCAATTTCTGCAGTTCCCCCTCATTCCTCGCCCCCTTCCATCCCCGTTAGCTTCCTGACTGCCCAGCTCTTCCTCTTCCCTTTTGAAACCCCTGCCACTGTCCCGGGTTCCTCCAGCTATTACACAAAAGCCTCTTGGATTCCAGCCCCAGCCCCAGAGGCCAGCTCAGTAATTCAATTACGGTGAGGGAGCTTGCTCCTTTTCGCCTCCCCCCTTCCTCTTTCTTCCTTTTTTCTTCTCTCTCTCTCTCTCTCTTTTTTCTTTTCTAGATCAAAAAAGAAAAGAGAGACATTGTGACCCTCAGAAGATGCTGCGACCGAAAATTCCCTTCTTGGCTCCAGCCCTGGCTAATGAAATACCAAGAATTTTCTCCCCTCGGAACACGTGTGTGTGGCATTTGATGTGTGTCCTTTGTTTGGGGTTTCTTTCTTGTGCCTCCCGTCTGATGTTGGGGACCCATATAAGTTTCCTACCGGAGACACGATGGCTGTCCCCTCTGTCCGTCCAGCCTAGCCTTGGGCGGCCTCCGTCTGAACCCAGGACGAGAGTCTGTCTCCAATAAGGCCCTGTTCCATTTCTGAGCTTGGCATTGATTCTTTGCAGACTGCACACATGTGAAATCTGCGGATGGGGTCGTTGCCTGGAAGAGAGCAGAACAAAAGGTTGGGGGACAGGCCAGTGGTTGGAGGACAGGAGGAGCCAGGGCTACACCCTCGTGCCGGCCCTTCTGTGCTGTGTGACGGTGGCGGGTCACTGCCCTGGCTGGGCCTCGCACTTGTCCGTAGATTACAGTTCTGTTTTCGGGTGTGGGCTTAGCATCCACCAGGTACCTGGCCCCGCGCTAAGGCCGGTGGACAGGAACAAATAAAACGCGCCATGGGCCGTCAGGAGTTTGAAGAAGATGGTCTTGGAAAGCCTTTCTGGCTCCGACTTGCTAAAAGCAGCCAAGGGAGGCTCAAAAAAAGACACATGAGCTGATTTAGCCAGCGGGTAACAGGAAACCAGGTGGCAGGGATAGATTTTCTGTTGTTTTTTTAGTGATTTTTTTCATAACAAATATAATCTTTGAGGCAAAAGGACTCTGTGTATTTGGCTGTCCTGATACCTTTCCAAGGCAGGAAGCCCCTCAAAAACATGGAGGCCACATGCACTTGTCCCCTGGCCAGGGAGAGATGGCTGTCCCTAGGGACCAGCATAGAGTTCGGTGGGGAAGTTCTGGCTCTCCTTCAGCCCCCCTCACTCGGCCTCCTTCTGCCCCCAAAGGCCCTCGCACAACCGTCTAATCTCTGCTCCCCAAGACAGACATGGGGACGTGGGCATCTTGTTTCCTTAAGCCTGTCTCCAGCCTGACCTTCCCCGTCACCTCCCGAGTCCTGATTCCGGCACTCAAAGCCCCGAAGGGGGCCAAGAATGATGGAAGAGGAAAATGACAGGCCAAGGAGGGTGGAGTGACATTGGGGAGCAGGAATGGGCCCACTGGGTAGTTTACAGGTCCACGAGAATGTTGGCAGCACAGATGGTGAGTGGAAGCTCTTCACCAACAGGGTGGATGGCAGGGAAGAAAGAGGGAGTGGCGGTCCAGTGGACAAGGGTGCTTTGCGTTTGCTCAAGCTCTCCCCTCCTTCCTGGAAGGCTCTCCCTGCAGCTCTGCACACTCAGACCTTGTCCTTCCTTCTCTGCCTGGCTCAAATGGCACCTCCTCCAGGAAGCCTCCCCTGGTCTCCTAGCTGGGGGTCGCTTTTCCCTCTCATTGCATTTTGCCTGGACTGCTCATGAGACATTTAAGGCTCTCCTGCTCTGTGTTCTAGGTGTGTTTGTGTGGAAACACTGGGTTGCAAACTACTGGGATGGTATGGATTATGTCTTACTTGTAAATCCTCCATAGCATTGAGCACAGGGCTCAGCTGCTGTTTATGAAATGGACAAGCAAGAGGCATAACAGGAACCAGGCTGTGTGATAGGCGCTTTATCCTCACACAACCTTAAAAGGTGTGGACTCGGTTTAATCACTTTGCAGATGAGAAAACCAAAGCCCAGAGAGGTTCTGCAATTTCTCAAGACCGCAAAACCCATTTGTGGCAGAACCCTACCTGCCGTTTCTCCCAGAGCAGCCTATTTCTCCTACGTGTCCAAGCAGTGCTTTTTAAATGTTTGGTGCCCATTCCATTGGGGATGAGTTTTAAATTTTTAATCTTTGTATATTTAATTAATGTGTAATAAAAAATATACAATTAGCACAGTGAACTTATCATTTTATAGATGTCATTTCATAACATAAAGCCAAAAAGATAGTTGAGTTAAAAAAAAAAATCAGAGAGTTAGTAGGGGATGAAATTGAAACAAATAGTAAGGCAATGGTAGCTCTCAGGGTAAAAATCACAAATGTGATTTCGAGATGCCTGAAGTTTGTGAAATACTGGTATAAGAGAATCCGTGGCCTACCGGGGTGTTTAAAAAGTACTTTAAAAAATTATGAAGAATAGTAATTTCATATTAACCGGAGAAAAATTAAATTGTCCTCCACCCCACAAGGAGGCGCTGTGTACAACTGGCAACCTTAGCCTGGTGAGGAGGTGGGCTAAATGTGACGCCGAGACAGTACTTCCCTGGCATCCTTGCAAGCACAGATGGAACCTGGCCTCTGCCCGGCTCCAGCTGAGGGTCAAAGCCATCGCAGCTGACGCTGAGACCTTTGGCTCCATGACACCTGGCCAGCACTGCAGGCAACCAGGTCCCAGTCCCATTACCCCACCCCTGATCCGGGTGTTCAGTGTAGACCCCCGAGGCCGGTGCAAGCTTCCTACTTCAGCTCCACTTAGTGCCGCAGCTGTCGTTCCTTTGTCAGCTGTTTTGCTGGAATTTGTTGACATGTCTAACTTCCCCTCGTAAAGCCCCACAGCTCTTGCCGGGTCTGATCCATGCAGTGCTTTGCACAGGGCTTGGCACACAGTAGGTAGCGAATAAATGTAAAATTGCAACCCTGGAACCCTGTCTGGAGTCCACTGTGTACCAGCTAGATCCTGAAACCCAATGGAATCTAGAGAAAAAAAATGGAAGAGTCTTTGCTCTCTACCTCGGAGACAAATTGTCTCTATTTCCTATTGTGGTCTTCTTGGCTTGGAAGAGTAATTACTTGGAGAAGTAACTACTGGTTATCTATCTATCTATCTATCATCTATCTATCTATCTATCTAATCTACCTACCTGTCTGTCTGTCTAGATCCACAAGGAGGACAGTATTGGTCTTCTGGAACACCCGAAGGATGAGGGCAGAGTATCATTTACTATATTGAGCAGCTATTATGTTTCCAACCCAGATTACTTGGTGCTTCCTCCAGTTTATCTCGTTAAATCATTACACTTGTGTTGAGATGTAAAGTATTAATATTCTTCTTCCTCCTTCAGCAGGGAGGAAACTCATACTCAGAATAAAGACTTGTCCAAGGGGACTGTGCTTAGTCATTAGTGTGGGTCACCACATATTTTTGGTTTAACTCTGTGGCACATGGTTTGATCGTACTTCCTTTGGAATGACCTGTGGCTAGGTACGCCTTTGGCCAATAAAATGGGAGCACCTCATCCTCTTCCACTGCCCAGGCATTTCTGAAGGTGGAGACTCCATCAGCCTTGATGCTGGAGGGAAGATGTCATGGAGCAGAGCTTCCCACCAGCATGCAGTAGACGCGGAGCATGAGCAAGGGAGGGACCTCTTTTCCAGCCCCGGAGTTTGGGGGATGTTTGTTATTGCAGCATAGCCCAGACC